GGCTAGCCTCAAGTTGTTCCTGGAAGATCACTATGTCATTGGGACCATGCTCACAAGGAAAGTTACCAGAGGGGAGACTGTAGATGAGGTCCCAAGAAGGTTAAAGTAGTGAACTAGAGATCTAAGTCTCTCCATCATCATAGAGGAGGAACCGAAGGTGTCGAGCTCTCTGCCCCGAGAAGTAGAAGCCACCTCGACGGAGGCCTCCCGAGCCTCCAAAGCCTGCTCCCAAGCTCTCCCTGAGCTCGAGGGGGTGTCATCCTGGTTACCGTCTCGGGGATAAACATGGTACGGATACCCAAACATGATTGACAGAATGATTAGACTCACCAGAAAAGATGAAACGGGGTGAACAGGAGAAGAGCTCGGGTATACTAGATGGATGTGCGACCTCAGAATCCAAAGACAAAGGAAGTTAGCATGAATGAAAATGAGGCCTAGGGGGCCCTCCTATTTATAGCCATTGTGCCCCTAGATCAACGGCCTAGATTGAGACAGATTTGACGGTTCGCAGTCAAGCTGACCACACGTCTTCTGAAACCGAAATGTGATTGGCCGCCCGTCTCCCATGATTGAGGTAATGACGGCTGCACGACATCCAGAGTTAAGAGCCGCTTCGGCGCGTTTCTTGGCATTCGAAAAGTCAAAAATCCATTGGTTCCCGCATACGCATTTAATGCAAGCAATCAATCAAGTTTGAATTTCGGTCAAATGCACCCATCGCATTTCATGAACTCCTCACGCTAAGGTAGCAGTCTTAGCCCAAAGAGTGGGGGGCAATTGATGGAGGGTGATTTGACCCGACCCCTTGAGACGATGACACGTGGACGTGACTCAGCACGAGCAACAGCTCAGCACCACAGCCTGACTGCGACTAAGTAATGAGCCCGTAGGACAGCTCGCTACACCATAGCTCGCTACTACGCGAGCTCAAGGTCCCCCGAGCTACTAAAAAGGGAATACTCCAACACTATCCCAGCTCGCAAGCTAGGGTAACCAACTCGTTCCAACACTTAGGCAGAAAAGCTGCCCCAAAGACAATCTTGAGAAGGGTCACCTCGAAGTAGCTCACGACAGGATAGCTCGCTACGTGGTAGCTCGCGACTAAGCAACGCGACACTCTTAGGAAGCTTCTATTTGACAAGACCGTACCAGTCAGACTGCGCCACGTCTCCTGACCGACGGTGCAGTCCCTGCCAATTCAACAGACTGCACCCACGCCTCTTGACAGATGGTGGCGTGCCTGTCCTCCCGGGACGTGCCACTCACCCGATTGGGTAGTACCCTGCAACGGTTACCTGCGCAGCCTTGGCAGATAACGGCTGCGACAGAAGCCCAGTGGCGGTTACGCCCGATTTGACAAGAATGCCTATATAAGAGCCCCTTAGTCGAAGGGAAGGGGATCTGATCTGATTTTTGGATCTTGAATCATCTTACTTGTTGTCAAGCTAATCTTGAACACTCAGTGATCTAGCGCGACCTACACTCTTAGCCTCTTTACACTCTTCACTATTTTCCCTAGCGTTCTAACTTAAGCATCAGAGTATTCCCACCGGGCAAGTCCCCCGGGAATTCTTCACCGTCTTCTTCTCAAGTGTCGTCCGTTGCCAAATAGGAGCCAGTCAGCAGCCAGGTAGGAGTGCCCGAATTGCGCAACATCAACACCCACATGTTAGTTTTGATTTTCCCTACCCACTTACATTTCGTCACAAAATAAAGTCCTCCCTTATCAATAAGAAGGCACGGCCCATGTTGGTGAAGAATACGAAGAGTAATCTCCATCCATATGCTTAAGAAGAAAAGCCTTGAAAAAAATAATAAAAAAATGATGATGAAAATATAATGATTTTCCAAGAGGTGATCCAGGTATCTAATGCCTCATATCAATTGTTATTTGGGCCTTTTAACCCATCATTTGTGACCTTTCCATACCATGTTTTGTCCTAACGAGCAAGCCCTCCTCGATCTTTGGAAAATTGACAAATCAGCATTGGACATACTGATTTGGCCGGTGATATAGAATCATAGTTGTCACTTGCTCCATTGAAATATCAACTTCATAGCCCACCTTTTTTGTTCGGCAAAAAAAAAAAAAAAAAAAATGGGGTAGACCCCCTATAATAAGGTTTTTCTTACAACAAATCCCTTGTTCAACAATTTACAATTCCATCATGCATGTTTTTTGAATTCAATGAGTTGAGTAATGAACGGATACACACTCATCTGGTGAAAACTGGATATAGCCCATTTGGACATAATTACTCTCATATGAGTTGGGGTTGGAGGCACTTTTGCCCTTGAGTTTTTGATGCTTTTTCTTCTTACCATTCCCATATTTCATGTTTGTGTGCACTCATCGATAATTAAATACTTATTTATGCCACAATTTGAGATGCTTGACCTTTTGAGTGCATACTCAACTTTTATCTTGGCTTTATCATCACATTGTATACTTTCGCTTATCTAGAAAATCCATCGGTCTTGTCAACCTCTATGCCTTGATCCGCGTTAGAAATCCCGTTTGTAAATCTCCTTCCTTTGACCAGTACTAGTTTTAATTGAGTAAATAGTGATGATACAAATAATGAAAGAAAAACAAAAAAAAAAGAAAAAAGAGAAGAATAATGTCTGAAACTCTTTCAAATCTTCCAAAATGTTCTAAAAAAAAAGAAAAAAAAGCTAAAGAATATTTGTTGGTGTTTTGTGATTGATTTGTTTGTTTCTAACATATTTTTCTTAGTGATAGATTTACTTTCATCCAGTTTTTGCAGATCCAGATGTACTTTTAGCCATATTTTCCCATATCCAGATTTCGCAGATTTACGTTGTCTAGTTTTCATAATTTTATCCCAGGTCTAGATTTCACAGATTTACTTCAATCCAGTTTTTCGCAGACTTATCCCAGATCCAGATTTCATAGATTTACTTTAATCCAGTTTTCACAGATCTAGATGTACTTTAATTTAGATTTTCTGAGATCCAGTTTTCGTAGATTACTTTGATCCAGTTTTTCATAGTTTTCTCAGATTTACTTTAATTCAGTTTTAGTAGTTGTTTTCATAGATTCGGATTTCTTAGATTTACTCTGATCTAGTTTTTCACATATTTCCCAGATTTACTCTAATCCATTTTTTCACACTTTTCCCAAATTTACTTTAATCCAGTTTTCGCAATTGTTTTCCCAATTTTACTATGGTCTAGTTTTTCACAGATTTCCCAAATCTAGATTTCGTAGATTTACTTTAATCCAGTTTTTTCCCAGTTGTTAACCTAGATTTACTTTAATCCACTTTTCACAGATTTCCCAGATCCAGATTTTGTAGATTTACTATAATCCAATTTTTCACAGATTCTTCAAGATGCAGTTTCATAGGTGTATTTTAATCCAATTTTCGTAGATTTACCCCAGATTCATATTTCATATATTTATTTTAAATCCAATTTTCACAGATCTAGATGTACTTTAATCTAGATTTGTCCCAAATCCAAATTTACTTTGTCTAGTTTTATCCCAGATCCAGAGTTCACAGATATACTTTAATCTAGTTTTCGCAGATTTACTTTATCCAATTTTCGCAATTTTTTCCTAGATCCAAATTTTTCAGATTTACTTCAATCCAATTTTCACAGATCCATATGTACTTTAATCTAGATTTACTTCAGTTCATTTCTCATAGTTTCATCCCAGATCCAGATTTCACGGATTTACTTTAATCCAGTTTTCGTAGATTTATCCAAATACGGTTTCTTGTAGGTGTAGTTAAATCTAGTTTTTGCAAATGTATCCCTGATTCCGTAAGGAGGGGTCTTTTCTCCAAATAGTTTTCCTATTATTAATCATTTTTTTTTCAAGGCAAATGTACCCTGATTCCAAAGGTTCTTGATACCTAGGAAAGATCGCTTTGCTAAGAATAAAATGGCTAGAACGTAATGAAAGGATGCTGCGCAGGAATTCCCCTTCTTCTTTACCTTACCTTACCGCAATTCTCCTTCCTCGTCTTGCCCTTTTTCCAAGCTTGTCCTTCACAAAAATCGCTATGTGCTTCTTTTGTCTTTGTTATTTCGTAGTTTCCTACCTTACAACAAAGAGGGGCAACTGTTAGCACCCGATATTTGCTCGGTCCGCCCCTAAGCCTCCAATTTACTCCAAACACTTGATCAAACCCTTCCGACCTCTTCGAAACACCCAAATTTCACCCCGAGAGCCCTCATATCCACCGTTAAACCTGCCCGATACCTATACAATGGCCCCGATCGACCCTCACTTACACCTCAATTATTAGATCATACACAACGATTAGACCCAGAACATTTCGAAACGCCTACCCATGAAATTTGAACTCAAGATTCCTTCATTCACCCGTCCATCAAACAAAGATTCCATTTCGACCGTTCCCACACCCACAACCCATATCCACTTGATCCGAACACATCTAAACCAATAAAGCCTTTCCATTTCGAGGCTCTAGATTGACCAGATTCCAAACCTGCTTAATCCGGGCCCGATTGGCTCAATATGATTTTACCAATCATCTCAGACTACCCAAAAAGCCCACCCGAAGAAGTTTTACCCAAAACTGCCTTTTTTTCCCCTTCATTACAAAAAGATTCCGTTTTCATGCCCCAGATTAACCGAATCGAACCCCTTCCAGATCTGCCCAATCCAGGCCCAGTCAGGCCAATTTGACCCCACCAATCCACTCATAATGTCTGAAAACCCCACCCTACAAAATTTCAGCCAAAAATTACCTCCTTAACCCTTCCATCCAAAAAGATTCCATTTCGACCAATCCTGCTAGCCTACACATCAAAACCCTTCTCAACCATCAGATCCATCTCAACCCTCCCCATTCTTGACCCAGACCCATCCTGGACCCAAGAATCCGGCTCAATCTCTGGACCCGGTTTAACCCAACCTACTGAAAATTACCAAAACCCCCCCGTTTTCTCCGAAGTTATGAAATGGTCCCTGTCCTAATATGATAGCAAAATGACGCCTCTTTTAACCTAATCGAAAAAAGGCTCATCGAAGAAGAGCTGGGCGAGAGGGAATATTGTTCATCGTCTCCTCCACTCGAACCAGCGGCAGAGCAGGCAAGAGAACCCTCTTTTCTTGTGCTTTGGCTCGGCGCCCCCCTTTCTCCTCCCGTTTTTCTACGTTTTCTCTCTCTTCCTTTCTTCTCCTCCTGTATCGACCAGCAGTCCTATCAAGAGCATACTTTCAATCCGAACTGAGTACCTGTGCAGCGCCGATTCCAACTGTGCCAGACAACTTGGGTTATACCGAAACCCAGAAGTGAGGCGTTCGTCACTTCCACTGAAGTTCTAGCCTCTCCGATCTCTGGGGAGCGAGTTCAAGCAGGTAACAACCCCTCAATCGAATCTCCTTCTTTCATTCATTTATTGCGCCTTCTTGCATGAGCGTGACTAAAGAATGAGAATGTGAAGAAGCCGTTTCTCTGTCAGTGTTAATTTGCTTCGTTCGTTCTTCTATTATCTTCTCATTTCGAATAGTTTCCCGTCACATCTGCTTCTGATAATTTCTTATAGCCTCTGATGATTTTTCGTTTCTCCGCTGATGATTTTTCGTTTCTCTACTCGTTGGTTTTTCTTTCGTATTCTATATTCTTGTCGCTGTTTTTTTACTGATCCCTACATGAATTTTTCAGATCGGTTCGACTGTTATGCATGTTTTCAATCTTGGTATTAGATTTGTACCTCCGGTTCCATGCCAACCACATCTCTTTGAATTTTTTCCGATAGTTTCTTTTTTTTTTCCTTTTTGTTGTGTTTTCTTTTACCTCCTCTTCTCTATGATTTCCTGTCAAATCGCATGGGTTTTTCCTGACTGTGAGTGTGACTGTTCATTTCTGTTACATCTTCATATTTGCTTTACCCACTGTCGTAGTAAGCTAGATCGGTTCTGGTATGTTTGATCTATCTCATTTCACTTCAGTGTGTCTACAAGAGTAATTTGGTTCTTGCCGAATGGTAAGATTAGTTAGTATGGATATTTTAATTTCCGTTGAACAGTGAACTATTATTATGAGTGCTCTAGCTTCTGTTTTGTTTCACTTCATGTTTGTTCTGTTTCCTTGTTATTTTTGGCATTTCCACCGCTTTTATCTTCATGTTATATGTAAAAATTGTTGAGATGTATCCTCACTGTGGTAGCGATTGACTATGTCTCCCATCAAGTTTATTTTTGTAGGATAATGTGTCTCAGACATTCATGTAATTCAGATTATCGATTTTCCTTAATCAGTTTTCCTTAATCCATACCTAATGGGTTTCAGCATCCCATGTGGGCTCCACCTTTGGACTTGGGAGAGGGGTGCCTAACCCCTTCCCTCTCCCATCCAAGACCTACCCGGACTGGTTGGACCGGTGCCTTGGGCTGTAGGAGTCGCTATTGGACCAAAACAATTTTGATACTAATTCTTGGAGGTCCCATCACCTCCAGTTCCTAAATTGATGGGTGGCGATTCCATTTCCAGCCGAAGTGGCAAGTGAGCCCGGTTTTTCCAATGACCACAGTGTCCATGTTCCATCTTGGCCAAAGTGTTGTCCCTAAGATTAAAGCTAGTCTTGCCTATCTTGATTAGTCACCTCCAAGGGACATTCATTTAAGGAAGATAGATTATAGACCAAATCTTGATAGCTAATGAATGTGTGGAGGATTTTAAGAAAAAAGGAGAGAGATTTTGTGTGTAAACTAGACTTGGAGAAAGCTTATGACATGGTTGATTGGTCTTTCCCCTTGGACACTTTGGGAAACTTTGGGTTTGGAGAGATGTGGTGTGGCTAGATTGAAGGTTGTTTGGAAACTTGTCATTACTCAGTCTTAGTTAATAGAGTAGTTAGAGAATTCTTTCTTGCAACCAGAGGGTTGAGGCAAGAGGACTCCTTTTCTCCTTTCTTATTTACCTTGGTAGTTGAGGTTCAACAGTTGTTACACATGTGCAGTATGTTGATGATACAATAATTTTTCGTGTGTTGATCCTCAGAAGGCAAATAATTTGAAGTAGGTGATAAAATTGTTTGAATTTGTTTCTAAATTGAAGATCGATTTTGAAAAGAGCCATCTGGTGGGGTTGAGCTTGAGGAGGAGATGGTCAAGGTTGCAAAGGCCTTAGGTTGTCCTACCATTACCACTAGTTGGCCATTGAAATATCTAGGTATGCCTTTAGGAGCCAACTCATGGGAAGGAAGCTTTTGGAGCCCAATTCTTGAAAGATGTGCAAAGAAATTGTAAACTTGGAAGAGGAATTATGTCTCTAGGGGATCATATTATTCTGATTAAGTCTATTTTAGCAAACTTTCCAATTTTCCTCCTCTTAGTCTTTAAGATGCCACAAAGGGAGGTGCTAAAAGTAGGGGAGATCATGAGGGAATTCTTATGGGAGCTTGGTGAAGGAAATAAAAGATCACCTAGTGAGATGGGATCTAGTATGCAAAAGTAAGGAGCAAGGGGGTTTGGGGATAGGCAATATAGGGAAGAAGAATGTTGCTTTGTTGGGTAAGTGGCTATGCATGCAAATGTGTCTATATATGCATATGTACATTTATATATTCGGGCCAAGCTCAGGCTGGGGTAAGGTTGGGCTATGCTCAGGCCTAAAGCCCAAATTTTTGGGCCCAAGGTCAATTCAAGGATCGAAAATTCATACCTACCGCATGTAAAATTGCAGTCTGGGTCAGTCTAGGCTCAGGTTGGACCTGCCCAAATTGATTAATTCTGGTTCTATTGATATAGCAAACGGATCGGTTTCCTTCTAAGCTTAATAAGCACTTTGATGCTTGCTATATCCAGTTGTAGCTATCTGCAGTTCGGCCCGTGCATGCTGATTCAGATTTTTAATTCTTCTGAATAAGATGTCTCAAATGTTATGAGTTCTTGGATGTTTTTTTTTTCTTGTCATCAATAAGCCCTTTATCGCTATGTTGAGTCCATGATTTGTGATGCTTAATTTCATTCGCTGTAATGTTGTTATGAGAAGTGAATCAAGAGAGGAATAGCTGACAAGAAGACACAGAGAAGTTGAGTTTAACCTGTTCAGGTGCACACTAGCAAAAAGGAAGAGGATTCGTTAGCAAGTTAGGTCCAAAGGAAAGTAGAGAAAAATATATATAATAAATCATAAAATAAATAACAGTAATGAAATCTGTAAGGATGGATTCGATGGACCCGGAGGGTCGGCTATACAGACAGAATGCAGAAAAAGAAAGGGAGAGGAGTTATGGTTACAGTGAACAAAGGATTTAAAAAAATGTAATAAATGATTATGAAAAAAAGGAAAAAAAATAGAATCTGTAATATCGGGTTTGATCAATAGTTTGTGATGGAGCGCAATCTGGTCGGTCCTAGCTGTCAACGATCTTGCCTCTGACTGGAGCAAAAGGTGCCTGAAATGGGGAAGAAAGCGAGTAGCCTCCGGGGAGGAACCCGGTGAGAGTGCTCCGAAGCTCAAGTTAGTATTTTCTCAAAGGCAAGATAAAAAACCAGATGGCGCAAAGTTATCACGTACCTCCATTCTTGGGGAAGAGGGCCTTTTATAACCACTTTGTGCACTCACTCCCAAGCTCTTGTCAGGTCGGGTATCATTACCTCTGCACTTCTGCCAGTTCGGGTGTCATCACCTCTGCTGGGGCAGACAACCGCCACTGCTCTCTTTGTCGGAGCCGTCTCTGTAACTAGAGGTGGCGGTGGCAAGTGGCTGTTGAAGTGCGGCTGTCAAGCGTCAGATCCTAAGTCAGTCAGGCATGTCGCCTCAGGATACGGACTCCTTTGGTGTTAGGTACGGTTGTTCAGTTCGGCGACCTGGAGACGAAGTGCCGGAGTGGTGTGCGAGGTGAAGTCTTGAGTTCAGATAGAAGTGTGGCCCGAGCTGCCCTGGGGTGGGCCAGTTCGGGTTGTTGCTCCTTGCGCTCCTCGTAAGGCTCGGGGTCAAAGGGAGAGTTCGGGCTCCTTTTGGGGAGCTCAGATCGCGGGTTCCTCTTCTCGGAGCTCGTGCCTTGAGTGCACTGCCGTGCCGAGCTGTCGCTCCTACCAGGTCACCCTCGGTTGCTTCCACGTGTTGGGTGGCCAAGAGGTTGGGCCAAATCTTCCTCCATCAGTTGCCCCCCACTCCTCGCGCTAAGGGTCTTGTGATGAGCGAATTTGACCTGTACTTTAAACCGTTTGACTAATGGCGTGAAGTGTGCGTACGTCAGGAGATTTCTGGATTCCTCGAGCGCCAAAAAGTCAGAAAATGCGCCAATCCGTCTTTAAATGCTGGGAGACGTGACGACAGGCGTTATTTCAAGTTCAAAAAGCGCACCACTACTGCCTTCAATGCTGGGAGACGTGCGCCGACACCGCTTCAGTTTCCAAAGATGTGTGGCCAGTCACGTCTCGGTCTTAGGAGGCGTGCGGTCAGCCTGATCGTGAGCCATTGGATTTGCCTCGATCAGAGCCATCGGTTTTCGGTCACTGTGGGTATAAATAGTGGGGGACCCCTAGTCGCTTTCCATTGCCATTCTTCTGCGTTCGCTTCTTGAGCTCGCGTTCAAGTTTAGCTCGCGTCAACCTTCCGTAGTCCGTTAGTTTTTTCTGGGTGAGTCAATAGTTTCTTCCTGATTTTCCTTTCCTCCCGATGTCTAGCTCGGACAGCTTAGACAACTTCTTGAGGGGGTCAGACGCAGGTTCCACGAACCGAGCTGCGGCCCTCGATAGCCTTAGTGAGCCTGAGGTAGAGCTCGAGGAAGAGTTCGAACCCGTAGGCCGAGTCGCTTCGGGTAGTTTGGCGTCCTCCTCCCGTCGAGGTCGGATGTTGGACAAGTTCGGGTCTTCAACCAGCCTGAGGGGCTTTACTCCCTTATCACCCAGTTCAACCTGCCCGGGGAGTATACTTACTTTATACCCTCAGGCGACTTCCCTTCGGAACACGGTCCGGACGAGGTCGTGATATTCCGGGAGCAGCTCGTCGCCGGGCTGCGCCTACCTTTCCATCCTCTTATCGTCGAGGTTATGAACCACTTCGGCGTCACCGTCGGTCAGCTCCACTCGAACTCTATCCGCAACTTAGTTGGGACTATCTCCCTCTTTTGCGAACACATTCTGCCTTTAGACCTAGAGATCTTCTCTTCTATTCTCATGCTTAAGAAGCAAGCGGGTCCCCTTCCCGGGCATAGGCGGGCGTACTACCTGTCTCCTTGCCCGAGGTTCAAGCTTTTACACGATCTTCCCAACAAGGTCTCGGCGTGGAAACGGGACTACTTCGTGGTACGAAGTGCAACGGGGTGGCCGTTCCAAATCAGGTGGGGGTTGGCTGCCCCTGACCTTGGTGTTACGCTAGATAGGGAGACGACGAAGGGCCTCCG